CAACTTCTCTGTTCCTATGCAAAGGGAGGCCAATAATGACAGTACCTACTTCAAACGGCTGTGTGGAGGGTTACATAAGGGATTACGGTGAAGCACTGATGCTACCCCGGCCCCCGGAGTGAGGTGAAATTGGCAACCCTTAGACTGCCCCTTGAGCACCGTCCACACTCAAAAAATGTTAGCTGGTATCATCACTCTTATTTCAGCTAAGTGGTCCTCACCAGAATCACCCAGAAGCTTGTTCCCAGGTCCCACCTCCAGAGACTCTGACTCCATTGCTCAGGGGTGGCCCAGGAATCTGCATTTTTACAAGCACCACCCATCCCCCCACAACACTGCAGTGCCCCCAGAAACTCCAGCTTTTCCGCTTTCCCTTCCCCTTTCCAGGCCACCCCAGAACCCAGAAGAGGCATCGCCACCAGCCTTTGTCAAACCCCGTATTCCATTCAGGAGAGGACCCCACCACCCTCCCACCCCATGCCCGTTTTCAAGGAAATTTGTCTTTGGGTTAAAGTTCCAGTCTCTAGTCCTCTATGATTGTTAAAAATACATATTTCTACAAAGAATGGGATGAATGAATGCCTAAACGAACAAGTCATCCCATTCCCAAGAAGAGCATTCTCAAGGAATGGACTAAACCGGCCGGCCCGAGACCCTCCTGAATCTCACGCAGGGGTCTGCATTTTATGTTTCCACCCATTCTGCTGCCCTCTGGAGTACGAGGACCTCGCCCTCAGCTGGGGACCTGAGCTGCCTTAGAGCCAGTGGAGTGGGGGCAGCCACCGCCCCGACGGCCACCGGAGGGCGCTCTTGCGCAAAAGCCTGCATGGCCCTCGGTCCTGCCAGGGGAGGCTCCTGCCTCCTCTCTTGTTGGACAGCCCCTCCCTGGAGCCGTGGATGTGAGGGGGCCTCTACTGGGGCACACCAATGCCAGCTTCTCACCCAGTAGATCCAGCCCCACCCGCTTTCCTTTGTTCCTCCAACTTGAGCCCTTTCCCACCACAGGGCCTTTGCCCTTGCGGTGCCGTCTGCCAGGCTCGCCTTCCTCCGTCTACACCCAGGGCTGAGTCTATCTCCCCTCCTGGACTCAGCTCAAACGTCACCTTCTCGAGAGACCTTCCCCAGCCCTGGTGTTAAGTGGGCCCCCTGCTATTCCCAATCTCACCCGCTTTTCCCCCTTAATACAATTTGTAATTATTTCGTGTGTGGTTTATTTTGTCTTGTTCTGATTCTGTCACCAGACAATAAGCTACTGGAAGCAGGGGTCTGTTATTGCCTAGAGCCGAGCACAGTGCCCGGCACATAGTGGGCCCGCAGGAGATAACAGTTGAGTGCATAAACAAATTTTTATCCAGGTCACACTCCTTGAAAGCTTTAATTACCCAGGAGAGCAGGGCTGTCAGCTGTGTCAGTGGGCACGCCGTGGGAGGACCGTGTTAATCCTGCTACTGGGAGCAACATTTTTGAACTAGGCACTTTTTTTTTTTTTT